CCTTTAATCCCAGCAGTCAGGAGGCAGAGGCAGGTGGATCTCAGAGCATTCCAGGCCAGCCTGGTCTACATAGTGAATTCCAGACCACCTGGGGCTACAGGGAGACCATGTCTCAATAAGACCAAAGTAAATAAATAAATAAAGTAAATGACTTCAAATGGTTTTCCTTCACTCTAGATGAATGGATAAATATAACCAACAGCCGGGCGTGGTGGCGCACGCCTTTAATCCCAGCACTTGGGAGGCAGAGGCAGACAGATCTCTGTGAGTTCAAGGCCAACCTGGTCTACATAGTGAGTTCCAGGACAGCTGGGGCCATAGGGAGACCTTGTCTCAAAAAGACCGAAAAAAAAAAAAAAAAACCAATATGGCTCAGGTGTTGTTAAGTTTCAAGGAACTCAAGCATTGTTCCCTATGAGGGGTATGCATGGGTCATCTACAGGAGAGAATGTTCAGAAATGATCTGAGCAGACATTACTTCAGTATAACCTGAAGTAGAATTTACTAAGATATAACATAACTGATTGTGGTTAAAAAAAAAAATGTATGGGGCAGAAAAAGACTTGGTTGGACATATTTTCAATCTCTATTATTGAAAACTAAAATGCTTGATAACTTGATTTTTATGGTAGACTTATTTGTAAATGAATTTAATCTAAAATTACAAGATAGGGGCTGGAGAGATGATTCAGCAGTTAACAGCACTGGCTGTTCTTGCAGAAAAGCCAGGTTTGAATTCCAGCTCCCGCACAGCAGCTGATGACAACCTTCCATTAATTCCAGTTGCAGGGAATCCAGTGCCCTCTTCTGTCCTCCTCGGGCACTGCACAACATAGGTGCACATTCATACAAGCAGGCATAACACTCATACACATAAAATAAATAAATCTAAACAATTTAAAACTACAAGATAAGGCATGGCATATAAAGTCATTTGAATGACTAGTATTCCCAGAATCCCATGTAATCACAAGCTACTATGTATACTTCCCAACTTGAATCAGTGTCCAGTCTACTAAGATGAGGGTCAACACAGAGGAAACATTTCCTCCATGCTTCCAAGTGAAGCCAGCCATGGTCGAGTAGGACCTTTGACTTATCTTCATACAGATGGAACTGGTAAAAGAAAGGAGCCAGGGGCTCCTCTCAAGCCCATGTGACCCTTGAGGAACAGATCCTCAAACAACCTTAAGAGTACAAATAAATTGGTTTATCTAGGCCAACAGTATGGCCTTAGACACTGAAGAGGAAAGTATAACCAAAGATTAAAGGGGCCAATGTAATTTTTTAAGAGTCCATTTGTATAGCTAAAGGCTACATAACAAGCAACAATGCCAGACAAGCGATACCTTCTTTTGAGTTGTGATTTTTTTTCGAAGCAGAAAGTGCTGCTCCGATGTAAGACTTCAAATCTTGATCTGCAATACTGTAGTGCCCACCTGTAGCTAAGGGAGACAACCAGCTATTGTTCTAAAATGATGGATAAATTTGTTCTCCCCCTATCTGGAAGCCTTTGAGAGAGAACTGACACTGATTCTAGCCACTCCAACAGCTATCAAAGTGCCTGAAAACAAATCCTGAGTCCATCACTCTCGAGTCCAACCTTGGCAGACAACAGAGAAATGAGGAGAAACACAATAGAGGGATACTTTTGGAAGCTCTCATCAAGAAACTCCAATGGACTCTGGTATGAACATCTGAAGTTTGCCCTATTCTGACTCTTTTCTGGTGCCCTGTCTAGAACGTGTAATGTTAACTACCCTTGCCTTTACTTCTCCTTCACATCTCCTATTCACCAGTCAAGGACTTTCTTTTCTCCCTACAGTTAAGAGTTATGCAATTTGGGAGTCTTTTAGATAGACCTGCATCTAATGCCTCACCCTGCATCCCTGTTCAGCATGGAAGAAGCCAGAGTGGTCTGCG